AGTGCTCTGAGGGTTTACTACACTGTGTGCCTGTGCTCTGAGGGTTTACTACACTGTGTGCCTGTGCTCTGAGGGTTTACTACACTGTGTGCCTGTGCTTTGAGGGTTTGCTACACCGTGTTCCTGTGCTTTTATTTAGGTATGATGCAAATGTCATCCCTGCTATCTTGTTTACATTGTTTTTGAAGGACTGATGTTAGCCATCCCTACATTTACCTCCTTTTTTGAAAAGTTTTTCTTTACTTGTTTGCTTGTTTTTTAATGCAGTGTTTTAATAGATATAGGAAGGTTGTATTTATAACCAAGTTCTAAATACAATGAAGTTCCAACAGTAATATTTATTGTTTATCTATTATTGGCTGGTAATTCCTGTTTCACCCTGTAACCAAGCTTTTTAAAGGAACATTGAATTTCTGTAATAAAGCTAACATTAAGGGGTAATAATAACATAGTTTTACACTAGAATTATAATGTTTTTAATTACTACTAGTTATTAATAATACTTAAAAAAGCAGATACTCCGTTTGAAACTATGTCATCTCAGTGAAATTGGTTGACACCAAGGTTTTTGTTTTTGAGTTATCATGTAATAAAAAAGAAGCAGAAGAATTTAAACTTTTACTATGATGTTTACAGATATTTCCAGAACTTTTGACTCGGACATTACATAGATATTGTTATATAAAAGGAAACACTGTACAGTACTGTAAAGTTATGATGACGTATTGAGGAGATATTTAAGATACCATTTCGATGAACAATCCGAGTCATCCCTACATAGACAGTGCTACTGCCTGCCTGATACAAGTAAATAGTTCTAATTCTATTAATTACAACAATTGTATATAAACAATCAAATCAGCACTACGTAACAATGGTGGAAGTCAGTATAAAAACCAAATATGAGATGTCTATTGCCAGCCCTTGTCATTATTCACTAACTCCTAATGGAAAATGTCTGTGGTCATAGCACCCAAAAACATTGGCGATATTCCATCTATCAGACATAACCCCAAACGTTAATGACAAACTAGTTCACCGTTACGGAGTTGATTGTTCTGACCCACAACGTCTTAACTCCTACTACCTTTCGTTGTCTGCAGCTAGTTGTGGGAAGGCAGTCACCCCGAAATAAACCACCCTATGTTCCTACATTTGCGTGACTTTCAACCTCCCCCCACAAATAATTATTAAGAAATAGTGTATATGAATTAATGAATAAACGTTCTTTTAAGGCTAGAATCTCGTAACAGACAGATCGGTTTTGGTTTATGTATAAATAATAAATAAATAATATATATATATATATATACATTCCTAAAATTTGTAAAATAAAAATAACATCATGTGATTTTCTTTTTCACTAGTTATTCATTATATTTTTTATGCGATCTGTCTTATTTTCATGCTAAGATCCGGGGTTAAATTCCCCGCGGTGGACAGAACACAGGTAGGCCATAATGTAGCTTTACAATATAAAGAATACAAACAAACATATTTTTTAAGAAAATATTTCTCTGGATTGTTGAAATATCTAAATACATTCTCTAATCACGTGATTGTTATAGCAAATCTAATTGGCTATCTCTACACGGTTCATTTTCTCACAGAATAAATATCATTAAGAAAACTCGGGGGAAATGATCAAAATATTTGACTCTCAAATAATAGTTGAAAAATAACCTTGTTTCTCAAGTAATTAAACGACCAAACAGGCGTTATTTTCCGTACTGGTTCTCTTTGATTATAGAAATGATTTATTTGTCACTGATTGTAATTATATCTTTTTATAATAATTTCTTCCTTATATGTAATTAATCCTCAAAAATTACCCAATTAGTCTAATCGTAATCATTGTTATACGTGTAACTCCACCTACGTTCTATTAGTGGTTTCAGAATACTTGTTAAACATATCGTTTTACTGTTTTAAATCATTGTTATACGTGTAACTCCACCTACGTTCTATTAGTGGTTTCAGAATACTTGTTAAACATATCATTTTACTGCTTTAAATCATTGTTATACGTGTAACTCCACCTACGTTCTATTAGTGGTTTCAGAATACTTGTTAAACATATCATTTTACTGCTTTAAATCATTGTTATACGTGTAACTCCACCTACGTTCTATTAGTGGTTTCAGAATACTTGTTAAACATATCATTTTACTGCTTTAAATCATTGTT